TGGAGAGTGATTTTGACTCGGACCTCGCTACCAAAAATTGAAGAGATGTCCATCTCTCCAATCATTCAACATCATTACATATAAAAGAAACACCTAATCGAAGGAAGAGAAATGTCCCTCAGATTGCAACCTAACAAGAAAATTCATGACTTTAACTAAGATAAGAGAGTGAAGAATGACCATTTACCAAATTTTGCTTAGATTCAGCGGAAATTGTAGATGATTTCAATCTTGCAAACATTTCCTGAATGAATGTGCTGTCATCTTTTAACAAAGAAATGACCTAAAATAAAATAAATGAATTAGAGATGAAAAAAAAAGCCATGTGTCAGATAAGTGACCAATTGAATCTAAAATCTTACATGTGCATTATTTGCATATATTATGGAATTGAGATTTGCAACAGTGGCATCATCCAATACTCTAGGCAAAACAACATCCTGTAAGAGGAGATATAAAAGTAAAAATTTTCATCACAAAAGAAGCAAGTAATCTTCAAGCCAACATTGGAGATCATCACAAAGACAGGCAAGTACTCCACAAAGCATTGATGATCATTACCTTCAGATAACTAACTCTGTAAGTCTGGTGAATCTTCGAGAGAACTACAGGATCTTTAATGGGTATAGCCTATACACGTGCACAAAATGCAACAAATACACAAAACAAACGAAGATGCTAAAATTTTACGACAACCAGCAAACCTCCATACCCTATCCTGTAAGATAACAGTAATACATACCTCCTTAAACACCACATGTTCTCTTAGAAAATTGCGATGATGCACATGAGGTACATCAGGATCATCTGCATAAGAATTAGGTAGATCATAGTCATTACACGAACAAATCACAGGGGAAAATGGAACCAGAGGAAGTATCCTCTGAACACACTCATGAACAAAAATGAAACCTTTTTTCTTCTGCCCACAACAATTTGCGGGTCATTTTATATACCAAAGCTATATCCCAGAATAAATCAATTATGTTGGTTTGCTGGAAACTTGTTGAAGCATTAAAATCATGAACCAACAAGCATATCACAAATGTTAAGGAAGGAGTCAAAAAAGCACTGTTCTAAACACCTCTGGAGTAACATGCACTCACTGGATGTACATTTATATCGACGAGCAGCTTGGCAAAAGATCTAAAAAAGAAAGAAAAAGGAGGGGGAACAACATTACCCAGTTTTGGCAGCAGAGAAATTGCAGAGAATATGGAAGAAGATAACAAAAAAGAACAATGAGCTGTGGCCATAAAAGCTACAACCACACGCAAACTGTTTATTATTCTTCTATGATTGTTTGATTTATAATTATCACCTTCATGTAGTTGAAGGAATAAACCACATCCAATGAATCAGAATATAATGATTGAGGAACAGTATTCATGTAACACAAATCTGAATGTAATGATTGAGGAAATCACTCCTATGACTATGGATTTCAATATATCCCATCCCAAAGTCAAGTAGAAAAGTTCTCTCTAAGCAAGTAGTAAGAACCACTAATCAATACAAAAAAACTAACACAAGCCAAGAAGCAGTCTCATATAAGGGAACTCCAGCTATGAGGGTCATGGTCACAATAATTATGTTAGGGTGTAATCCTTCAAGCAACAAACCATAAGTATACAAACGAAAGCAATCAAAAGGGATTTTTCAGACCCAAAACATAAACAACTTACATTCAAGGCATCCAATAACATCCATGATCAATTCATCCCCAAATATTTTCTCAAAAATTTGAGGACTATTGAGAAAAACTGCAGGTAGGCGGGAAAAAAAGTCAATTACATCTAAAGAAAATGAATGCAACTAATACGATAATCAATATTTTTCCAGAGTTGAAAGTTAGGGTACTAACTGATCCCCCTGACTATTTTGAAAATCGTGTGAAGACCATCCATATTTTCCAAATCTTCACAGATCCCAAACAGGTCCATCAGCTTCCGAAAAAAATCTTGCTGCATAAATAATTTAATTATACTTAAACAATTACAAATGTTGATTACTCAGGCCATGAATTAATCACTGTTAGGAGAACCATAGAAAAAAAAAAACAAAGACATCTATGCATATTAAAATATACATACATACAACAAATACACATATCTATATCCACACACATACATTTATATATACATAAACATGCAAGCACACATATATATGTATCGGAAAAAAGGAAAAGCTGAGTTTCCAAGGAAACTGTAACAAGAGACAATATTTTTAACCCAATTTCACATAAAAGGATGTTTATGTTCCTGTTTTATAAACAATTTCCCACATTTTAGCATAAACACACAGCAAACACCATTTTGCCTTGAGCACTTATAAGAAATTTCTCCAATGGGATGTGCATTGCCGAGCAATCTACTTGCATGCAAAGGTAATGGACGAATTTTATACCAAAAAAATAAGCTAATCTGATCTGTAGTTGCTTAAAGCTTCTTAGATTGCTTGGGTTTATTACAATTTACAGGTCATTAAATCACATTTCGATGAATAAATTAAACAATGAATGGTCAGTCAGCCTTCCCAGAAATATTGATTGTTGCAAAACAATTAGTGGTGGTTGTTGTGTTTTTTTTAGTGTGTGAAAAGGTCAAGTCAATTATTTGACAAGGCCATTTAGACATGCAGTAGAACAAAGGTGGAAATCAGTTCACAACCAAAATTTGCAAAATGAATTCATTCTATGCATGACATATGCAAGGCTATAGCACAGGCATTTGGTCAACCAGCAAGGCCATCTAAGGCTCCCTGAGGCTTTCTATGGCAGCTATTACCCATCTCATATTTGACTCATACAATGGAAATTTCAAATTACTAGAATGTCGATAATAAAGAACATGGAAATTCTTAAGTTGGAAATCAGATTCATCATTATGCAGAGCATAACGGAAGCATGGAATATAATGAAAGTGTATAGTCATCACCATCAAATACACTCCAGTACAATAAAAATTCTCAAATACAATCATGTTGTCCATCAGATACTCCTGAATATCACAATATGATATCGTTCTACGATAGATAAAAAAAATTCTAATCACCATGAACCAAGAAAAGATTGAACAAAGCTCACATCATGCAGTATGAGTTCTGTCACAAGCAACTGATCAGCAATGCCACCCTCAGCCACAGTCTGCAAGAACAAAAGAAATATATAAGCTTACCTAGACATTAAAGACCAAAGCTAAAATGACACAAGTAAAACTTCAATGATAAGGAAAAGAAACATAATCATGAGGAAGCACCAACGCAATATTACCTATCTATTGCAATAATTTTGCCAACTATTTGTACCAGGAAGACAATGGGAGGAAATTAACCACCTTTATACATACTCAGGGATACCACAAAAAAAAATTCCTATCAGTAAGATCCCAAGATATAAGGCTTTCCAGAACATTACGAATGTAAGTGGAGGTTATTGAAGGTCGCTCACTATTTCAGATTAAACACTAAATATCTGCTCATTTCCTTTCAATGTTACCTCAGTGGTTCTCATGCTCAAATAACAAAGCAGCAGGAATAAGAACAACAAAAAAAACAATTCTCAACAGGAATTGGAAAAGCCAAAGCAGTGATCTTCCAACAATTCCCACTGTAAGTCCCTATGATAATCCAATTATCTTCAACGTGAGCATTTCTAACATGAAACATACTCATCCTGAGGAGAAGCAGTAAAGATATGTAGGCAATAAAGATTTCTGATGTGATGAATATGTCCGACAACAAATTAACTAGAAAGTTAACAAGTCACCATTTCTCATCAGAAGAGGACATGTCAAACTAAAAGGACAAAAACACATCCTGTCATAAAGGCAACATAGACGATGACAAGTGTAGAAAATAAAAAAGATTAAGATTCTATTTAAATTCCCGAGAAAATGATAAGAAATAAATACTATGAAGTTTCCTTAGACATGTCAATCACCAAGATATACCATTAAAAGTAGGCAAGTTTCCGGGCAAGCATGAAACGTTCATGTATTAAGAACATACAATTGGAGATGAAGAGTACAAGAGAAAGGCAAGGTGGAGGAAGAATTTCTACATGGTATCCAATTATAAACTCCCAATCAAATATCAGTAGTTAGAATGACATTCACATGCCTGTATCAGGAGTTGACAAAAACCTCAGTGATCACATATATAGCCAAGAGATATGCCATACAAGTTAGAAATATAGAACACCCTTCTGACTAAAAAAATATTAAACATCCAATTGTATCTCAGCACTCATTTGGGGGTGACCACTTACATCCTGCGGCATACATATCAAGAATTACAGGAGGGGCAGTAATAATCGTGAAGGGATCAACCAGAGCCAGAAAATATTCCAAGAATGCCAAACAACACGATAATGAGTCCAATAAGCTTACATTATGCCCCAGGAACAAAAAAAGTCAAAGCAAAATTGAAGCAAACAGTAAAAGAATAGAAATTGTAAGCTGAAGAATACCTTGAGTATTAAAGGAAGTGTAGATAGCTCAACTGCGGGCAATTCTCTCAACTCACTATTGACACTATGATATGTCTCATCTGAAGAAATAACAAAAAGAAATAATAACTATCCATGACATCACGCAAAATTCTAGATTTCATGCATAAGGTTACTTGAAACAGCATAAAAACAAACACTGAAAGCTAACATTTTCTATCAGAGGATGTAAGGATTCAGGCCTGCTCTATGCAAGACATTTCAACCATTCCAAGCAGATATAGATTTATTTCTTCCTGTGGATCAGTAAAGATCTTTTCTAGTCCATCAAAATAAGTTCTTTGAGCAGACCAGAGCAATAGGTACAATTTAACCATGAATAATTTCCGGTGGGATATATTACAGGTCCAAAACGAGGTGGGCTTGGCCAAGAAGATTTGGAATTAGAGGACTAGTTATCCCACTTTTCCCATGCAACATATTTTTATGACATATGTATTTTCTCTACATTGTGCCCACATCTAGGCCTGATCTTATGGAAAGGGCATCAACAGCTAAAAGGTTGCATCTTGTTAAAAATTCACTTTTGTGGCCCAACAGAAAGAAAAAATACAAAAAAATGTTACCACAAGCACCGGATAAGAGATTGGGAAGATAATATTGTACTTTTTGGTGGCAGAGTAAATATTTGTTTGAAATTGGAACCTTGCATTGGTTGCCAGCGTAACTTTGCACTATGGAATGGATGCTAAAGTTCAAATGCCATCATCTATCTTCAGGAGACAAGTGTTTATTGAGTTAGAAGGTTGCGATTCCATTGTTTATTTCTAGTAGCGACCCACCCAAAAAGAAGGGAACAAGGAAAAGAAAGAAGGCCTATGTAAAATTCATATAGCTGCTTCCAAAGGGTTTATGGCCCCTACTGTAATGATTAAGTCTAGGACGTGATCTCTCTTGCATGGCTGTATCACACACTCAACCAAATTGCAATGTAAATTTCACAAACTAGCACTCAACTCAATGTGAACCATTATTATGAGTCTTCAAATTAAATTGCCGACTTAGTTAAAATTTTAACCAAAAAGGCTCAATGGAGGAGGGAGGCAGATAGATAGATAGATAAAAAATGGGAATCATTTTCAGTTTCCAATTTTTGATCCATTGATGATGTTCCAAAAGGCAATAGGACTCCTGTACATGCCTTATGTCATTAATTGTAAACCTTAGGCAATTTCAAATCCACCCAGATCTGCAAGTAACATGCCCAGGACATTTCTTCTAGGGTTGTGGTCAATTATCAAACCGCCATTGTCCTATGAAAAGGCCAAGAAGTCAAAATGCTCTACCTGGCTTGTATCATATTCAGATATAATCCCCCATGCGTTAAGCAAGACCAGGCTTCAAACCTTACGGAGGCATGGAAGTTGGGAGATAATGACTATCAAGTAAATATGACCATGCTTTTTGAAATGGTTAAATGATTATCGCAAACACTTACTGGTAGGGGTACTGAAATGCATATTCCTTTGCACACGGCAAATGTTTTCCCTGCATTAAAACAAAATATCTCCTTAGACTATGCTGCAGTCACCATTAGGTAATAAGCAAACCAAAAAGGCTAGAGGGTCAAATAGCAGTTACCATATGTAAGAGCACCCATTAGTCTCTTGAAAGCTAAGAGCTAATTCCGTTGCATACTCTGGATCTCTCCAAGAAATAATGGTATCTAATTGTACAAAGCATATATTAACCAATAGCCTGGGAGGAAAAAACTTATTTATAATGCTCCCATGAAATCAAAAGGCTACCTTCTTGCTTCCTATAGATATCATCTGAGCTGATTCGGTGCAAAAGTAATGTTTCATTGTCATCTTCATCAATAACAAACAAACCTAGTTCTTCAGATTTCTGTAGAATAACATTTGGTCAATCCAAAATCCAAGATGACTCAAGTCCTCAACCAATCTCTTATATAGAGAAGCTCCAAAATTACAAATGACAGTGTTGAATATACGTAACCCCAGTAACAGTCATACCTCTAAATAATCAACAGTGACATGCCCAGTTCCTTGGTCATCCCATTTCCCATCTTCATTCAGTTGGTAGACCTTAACACGCTGGAATTTAAAATGACATAAGAAAGTGTAAAATGAGCAAGTTTGCAAGTCATGAAGAGAACAGTAGGCATAGAATTGAAAAACAACTAGGATAAATATAGAATGATGAAATTCCCCTAGAAAAGTGCACACAGGAAAAATATAAAAAAAATCTTACAAACGAAGCTTATTGATTAATTAATGGAGACAAGTGATTCCTACAAAACAAAATAATGCATTGAACATGCTTCTACCAGTATCGCAAGGCCCAGCCGCCCAAGGTGATACGATACAAGCATGTTACCAAAGGCACTCACTTAGCAACAAGATGTCCCAAGTGACCTGGGTTATAAGCTCAGTTATTTGAGCACATGTATAAGATCAGTCGTTTGAGACGGCAAACTAGCTGAGTAAAGGTACAGGTCGAAGCTTGCCCAATAAGGTGAAAAAAAAATGAATAATTTAATCACACTCGAACCAACACAACTCCTCAAGGCGTTACTAGGCCTAAAAAGAAAACTAGCACCGTAACCCTAATATGGAATTAAATCAACAGTTATCCAATCCCTGTCTATATTTACAGCATCAAAAGCAGGTAAGTTAAACACCAAATTCAATTAGACCACTGAATTTAAGACAGTTTTAAGAGAGAGAAAAACCTAAAACACACTTAGCTAGTGATTCGATACCCCGAGCATTAACAACTACCCTAATATTGTCTGCATCTCTAGGGCTCAAACATTAAGCTTCGTGTGACAGTGAAACAGACTCACCTGCATCGAATTGTTCGTACTTGGTGATTTCTCCGGCGCTCCCATCACAGCTTCTTTATTTACTCGGTCAAATTTAAACTGTAATTAGTGCAGAGATTCAATTGTTGATGAAGTTAAAATTAGGGCTCCGAGGACAAGGAGAGAGAAAGGACAGGGATTAAAATTGGAGGTTTGGGTGGTTTGAGGAGTCAGTTGAAAACCCTAATCACCATTGACGTAGCAGGAACCTTCGAAGCTCTCTCTCTCTCTCTCTTCTTTTTATTCTTCTGTGTGAAGTGTCCGTTCTCGACCTTTGAGGCACAGAAAGAAATGAACTATGTACTGGAAATGGATACTGGAATCTCCGTAATGTCCTTCAAGTTTGTTTGAATTTACGAGGAATGCCACTGAATTGTAGTGTGATCACCGCCCCGGGGGGGGGGGACTTTACGCGCTTTCGATCTCACAAACCAATCACGGGTGACCGAATGAGCTCTAAAATGTACTCCCACAAAAAATCATATGGATTTATGTCGTTTACAATTAAGGACGAGTAATTAATAATTCATGAATAAAAAATTCATCTGATATTCTAGGGACAATTCCCCTTATGCACGGAATTTGCACACATTTTTTTTTTCCGTCTTTTTTTTTTTTTTAATTATTATCACAACATTTAAAAAGTAAGATAAAATATTAAAGTGATAAAATAATTAAGACACTCCATCTATTTTTAAAAAACTTTTAAATCAATGGTAACTAATTACTGAGGAAGAGAGGTAGTTATAAGAGACTGTTGTTATGATATAATTAGTTAAAATTATTTGTGATAATTAAATATTTAAAAACTTTAATAAAGAAAAATGAGAAGAAAAACTTTTTAAGTCATTCCTCACCTAATTTAATTATTTTTATATAAATCGTATTTCTTGCAAGGCTTGTTGAGCTTTTTTTATGTGACAGGCATCGCATTCCTCACCTAATTTAATTAATTCCCTGAATGATCGTCGAGAGAGGGCACCGTTAAAATATACGAATTTATGACTCATTAATTAATTACCAAATAAAATAGAAAAAGGTAAATGAAGTTGGTTAAATAAGCCATAAAAAAAGATTTAATTCAAAAAATATTTAAATAATTAGATAGATCTCGTCAATGCTTCTTGAACTATAGTCTTAATTTTAAATTATCTTCTGAACTTTCGACTGTCCTAATTTATTTATTAAAATATGCAATTCATTTCAATCAACTCTCTCGGTTAAGATTGCATAATTAAAGAAGATAAATTATTATTTAAAATATGAATATTGCATAATTAATATTCATTTTTAATATTATAGAATGTCTTACACAGAATTATTGTTAGGATTTATATTGATCCTTTTGTATAAATAGATTGCTTTTGAGTGAGGATTGCGTCTTTGCTTTGATCCCTTTGTATTTCCCTCCTTTCTCTCTAGCTTCGGAAAGAATGTGATAATAGTTGCCAGTAGGATTGTGATAATAACTCAATCTTAGTAACAATCGGGAAAAGTAATAAAGTAGGTTATGATTCAAATATTAAAAAATAAATAAAATAATTTTTATTATTCGTGTTTGAAATAACTTTAAATTATATTTTAAATTTAATTTAACGACTAATATTAACATTCTAAATTTAATAGAAAAAATAGGCCTTTAAAGTGTGTTTGAAGTGACTTTTTAAAAGTTTTTATATAAATAATTTCTCATAAATATTTTTAAAACAAATAGTATTTGAAACCGTCCCGCCACTATCTCTACCATCGCCATCGCCACCACCACTATCGCCACTACCACCACCACCACCACTGTCGTCGCCGTCACCACCGCCGCCACCATCGTCATCGCTCTTGCCGCCACCACCATTGTTGCTACCCACCACAACTATCACCTTCTCTTACCACTACCACTACCACTACCGCCCACCACGTTTTACCCCCACTACAAGCCAATAATTAAATTTATTTATCTTTTCTTTATATTTATGATTTGATTGTAGATATAAATACACATAAGTTTATTGTTTACTATTTTTTATTATTATGTGTCTTCAGTCACAGGTAATAACTAGTAAATTAATATTACATGAACTTTATTTGGTAATTTTATCATTCTCTATTATTAATTGAGAGTAAATTTCACTATTAGTTAAAATCCAATATCAATTTAATGACTATGATCTATTATGTCACCAAATAAAATTATTAAATTAAATACAAAAAACATTTTCCTATAAAAAATATCACGAGAGAGACTGTGAAACACCATTTTCCATCATAATCATTAATAGATGAATGTCAAAGGATAGCAAAGAAGTTATCGTAACAAGGATGTCCTAGTAACAAAGATGTCCTTGAATATTTGACCACAATAGGAAAACACCAACATGCATTCCCTCAAAAGAAAAAGACTAACAGAAAAGGTGTCGACGAGCAGTACCATTATAACTTAATTTGTTGACCTAATTCATTATAACTTTTAGATTAATCATGAACTCCATCAAACATTAGAACTTGATGTTAATTTAATGATTCCACTGAAACTACATCATTATGTCAATAAATTAAATCAAATTTTTAGGTCTAAATAAAATTATTCAAAAGGGTATAGATCACATTTTTGCACTCTTAATACCCACCAACCTACACTTTTGGGAAAAAAATTGTGCAAGTCACTTCTAAATACAAAACATTCCCCACTTTTCAATGGAGCAAACTTTCACCCCACCCCTTCTGTTCCCCCCCCCCCCCCCCCCCCCCCCCTTTCTACTTTCCCCAAAAAAAAACAAAACCCAAAACCACCGTCTCTCTCTCTGACACACGCACACATAGAGCAAGCCCAGTTCACCACACTGGAAACCATCCCGACCCCTCCACCTAAAGACCACCCAACCCTTTTTAATTGTTTGTTGTGGTTGAATTGGTTGCATGCGGAACGTAGGCACCCACCGTATAATGTCAGTATATATGATAGATGTCACACCCTAATTGACTTGGGTGTAAATGGTCGGTCTTGGTGGCACATTGCACCAAGGCATGCCAGAAATTAGAATCAAGGTGACGCAGCTAAGTGGTTCGACAGATTGGGGCGAACCAAGACAGCATGAGACCACCCGGTTGAGCATGACAGCATGGGTGGGCTCAATTGAAGCAATGTGGGTGCAGAGCTTCGGATTGCATGGCATGGGTTGAACCCAGCATGCACATTGGTTCGTAGAGCAAGGTTGACTGGTGAATGTGGACACATGACTGCTGAATGTGTACACCTGATTGGCACATGACTGCTCAATGCATGTGACCAGGAAGATGTGGACAGTTATGATGCTGAGACTCAATCAAAACAGTTGCTGAGGCAGTTCTGGATGTCCCCAGTCTGAATTCAGTCTAGATGCATACTGATGAAGGGACAGTTCCATGAAGTGATGGAACTGCCTGCCATGTGTTACACAGAGACCAAGTCTACTGGTCCAGTATGCTATGAAATAGCAAAAACGTGGATAACTACCCCTTGGCAGATGGGGGTGTCATCTGCCTTCCTCTTGGATAAATAGTGGTGCTTGAGCATTCTGGAAGGCAGAGAGTGTTCTGACTTTTGAGAGTCCTTGTAAATTGTTGAGTTCAATATATAAGGTTTGAGAGTGTTGTCCCAGTAGATTCGTGTGTGCCTTTTGTGTGAGTTTCTGTCACTTATTCTTGAGTTGAGTGTGATTGATTGTAATAACAACGCCTTCACAAGTAGGCTCAAAAGAAAAATGAAAGTTACCCTGTGACAATAGAGGTGGTGTGGTGATGATTGACCTCAATGCTAATGGTTATCCTTCAGGCTCAACGAATGAACGAGAGGCTACAATCGTAGCCAGATAGAGATGGTGGTCTTCTGACGCATTCTCCTCTTCATCGAGACAACTCACATAGGCATAACTAATAAATCCACGACCACATAACAACCAATTCGCAGCCCTTCTCTCTCTCTCTCTCTCTCCCCCCCCCCCCCCCCCTCCCCTTTTTTCTTTTTTTTTTTCCTTTTCTTTTTGCCACTCTGTACTCAGCAATAACCACTGCACAGCCAACCATACACCCCCACCCCCTGATTAAAAAACTACAATCCCAATTCAATTATCCCAACAACCCAAATTCAACTAACATTTAACTAAAAATCACCAAACATTCAATTTGTGTGTGCGCTTAAGAAAGTTAGTATTGATGATGCCATCTATCAATTCAGATGTATAAGAAAGGGCATGAATGGAGAAAAAGGATTGGAGATCAAGGTTAAAAAGGATTTACTACACCGGTAATCTAAGGAGCTGATCTGGGTATGGCAGGTTGGTAAGCCTGATCCGAGTTGCCTGATAGCATTAGGAAATGTCAACATAATTCCACAAAAAACATGGCGCAGTTACTGAAGAATATAATTAAGGGAACTTGTAATAAAGGATCTCAAACTGTAATTGCTTAGAACACAGACAAAATTTGCCAAATAACATACTTGCCATGACTAGGAAATCAAAGTACAAGATGATGCACTGAAGAAATATAAGCATTAGATTCAAAATAACCACTACCAATCAAGATTTCAAAATTCCTAATCCTCAAAAGATAGCAATACCATTCCAAATTAAAAAGAAAAGTTCATGGGTTTACCTCATACTACCAATTCAAGTGCAAGTGCAAATGCAAAGTAAAATCCAAATTGAGATAGTTCCATACCCAAGTAAATTATAGCTCAAAGTCAGATTGATATACTTGCTGCAGCTAAAAGAAAACCAACAAATTAAAACATAATCATGTAAACCCTAATACAATTGCTTCTGCTCTACTCTTCCTCGGTGGCAGATTCACCGATTTTCTTGTTGTGCTTCCTGGCGTACCTCTGGTTTCTCAAAAACTTCGGATCCATCTATACATCCACATATAGAGATTAGTGTTTGAATACACGCACATAATAGATGTTCAAAAAGTTATCTGAACAAAACAAAGATGGTTGAATAAAATCAGAAAATTTACGAACCCCTTTGGTGGAAGTGTGGCGGTGCTTCTTGGGCTTCTTAATCCCGTTCCTGTGCGCCTTGTGTGACTGGTTGTGAGCCGTGTGATTCTTCGACTTCGCCATCTCTTCTCTCACCAAAACTGCTCAAACGAAACAGAAAAATGAAGTAAAACAAATACTATCGATAATTTTAAATACAAAATTTTGATTACATATCTATATATATGCACAAATACACACACACACACATATAGAGAGAGAGAGAGAGAGAGAGAGAGAGAGAGACATACGTGGTTGCTGTGTAGCTCTGTAGGAGTCGGCGTTAGGGTTCAGAGGATGAAAAAGAAAATGAGAACAGGGGACTGCTAGAACCCTAGTTCTTAGAGGCTTCAGACTTTTGTATGTCCAGATTACCTTTATAGGCCTAAGCCTTACATTTCTTTGGGCTGATCTGACTTGGACAACAACTGCTGAGCATTTTGTATTGGGCTTTTCTATAGTTCTTTGGCCATTCACAACCCAATAAAATGACCCTTTTTTGTTTTGAACTGGAATAAATTTATTAGTTAGGCTTAGAAAAAAAGGTGTGGGCCCCACAATGTGATATAAATTACATATTTTTTTGTTACAATGATGATTTATATTTTTTGGTCAAAATGATATTGTTTTTTAATTTTAGGAAGAATGTAGGTGGATGATTAAAAGAAATTGACACATGTGTCTATACTATGAGTAATTGGAGGAGGTGAGTAGAACAAGTGGATAGAATAGAAGGAACTAGAGTAACCTGTTAACCAAATGGCGAACCAGTTGGGTAGAGGGTAGATAAAAAATGCTCTCACCAGCCAGAAAATCCTCATCCGCAGTGGACAAGTAATGTGGATATTTATAGCACAGTGCCCGGGCAGATCGCGCAGTTTGAAGGATTGCTAGTCGCGACCTTCTACCACTCGCGCGAACCCACAATTGCCTCGACCACGACGTTACTAGTGGCCGTTAATTGCAAGCCACGCGTCCCAACATTAACTAGGTAGACGTAATGTTTCCTCAAATGCAACCTAGACGTGGTTTTGAGGGGATGCAATAGCCAAGGTGAGAGAGGGCTCCCAAAGTCTATGACTGCAACTAGCCACCGTGGGACCATGACCTCTAGAGGACCATGTCTGTAATGCCCCCAATGCACTTCTACTCAGGTCTTTCTTTCCTTCTCTAAAACCTTTCTCGAGACTTTTGTCAAGGTGTCTGATAAAGGAAACCCGCATAATTTTGATCCATTAGCTACCAATACACATGTCCCCTCATCTTATATGTTGATTTGGACCAATGATTTCAGTTACCTTTAGAAGTCCATCAGAATCCTAGTCAAGTACATTCCCGTAAGCAATGAGTCATACACTAAGAGGCCTACTCGAGCAGACTAAATCTTCAAGACCCTACATCAGGGTGAGGTTGACAATCGTGCTCGTCCACCTTTACTACTTGGTTCTCCCTTGAAGAGGGTCATACTTTCATATCCCTAAGTGGGGACACCTTCTCTTAGCCCAATGGATCAGTCGAGTAATGGTGTTCAATAGGCTGAGGATACCACTCCTGTAATGAGAGAGGCGAGTCTCGTCGTATAAAACCCGAAAAAAAAAAATTATTATATTATTTATTATTATTAAAATCCTAAAAAAATAAGGGGTAAAATAATAATTAATTGTTAAATTATGGGTCAAAAACGAAAAATTTCAAAAAAAAATAAAAATAATAAGATATATATAAGAGGAAGACTTTGTCTTCCACTTTTTATGTCTTCTACAGCCGGCGAGATAGAGAGAGTGAGAAAAAAAAATGAGTTCTTATTTTTTTTTCTCTTTTCTTCCTTCTCAGATCTAGGAAAATTTAACCGTTTAATCGCTTCGGCCCAAGAACTAAAGTTGCTCTACTCAGCGAGAGCTACGCAACCACACCAAATATCGTATTTTTCTTCGAAGGAATATCAAAGCCGATAATCTAGGTCTAAAACTTAGGAAGTTAAATTTGGGCTTCCTTGGCGTTCTAGTAAGTGGTCTAACGCTACGAGAGGTAGAGTTTCCCCATTTAGATTTAATTTCAACTTAAAATATGGCATATGGAATGAGTAGATTATGAGTGTATATCACATGTTAAGTCTTGACTAGTGTGACTAGTGGGTCAAATATAGAATTTATAATTAATCTTGTGATTAACAAAATTCTACTGTGATTAACTTGGTGTAAGTTAATGTTAGTAGTTTAAAGCATGTTAATTGTATGTTAGCATTACTTTATATTTTAATGGCAAATCAAGTTTAATAAAATTATTAACTTGTTATATGATTGTGAAATAATAAATATATGTTAAATGATTATTTAACATATGATTATTTTGGTGGACTTGTGCTTATGTTAAACATGTTGCAAGTCATAACATGCTAGTTGTGTAAATTGATGTGCTCTTTAGGTGTTTGATTAAATGCTTAGGTGAATACAAGTATGTTAGTTGAGTTGATTATCTTACATAACATACTTGAGATCGTGTTAAAATGTCATTATATTGTATTCATTATGTAATAGACATTGTATTTCATTATGCATGAGTTGCACTATATTCATGGGCATTGACATGGGTGAGAGTGTATGCATGGTATGAAATCAATCACCACGTAGGTGGTTGAACGTGGACTCGGAAAAGTCGCACCAAGGTTCGGTTGAGTCACACTGGAAATTAAATAGATAAATGTGTTGGGGACAGCAAGAAGGGCTAGATTCTCCCTCAGGTGCAAGACCCGCTTACTTGGTTTATACACTTTCCGGCGGTGAAATTCCAGAAAAGTGTAACGACGAAAACGGAGCCGCAGGTGGGATGTCCTGAAGATCCGTTGATGGTTGGTGTCCCATTGGTGTAATACCATAAATCACCTCCCCACATAGACACAAGAAAATGAATTAATTAGTCATTGAGTGTACATAACACCAATGATGGGGGCTTGGAATGCTCGAATACATACGCATGACATTGCATGTGTTATGGGAGCTCAGGATGGGGCTCGGGGTTGGTATTGCTTGCGTGAGTCTCATCTCATGGCATGACGTGATTTATAATATTCAATCATAATAGACATATTTGAATGAATGTATCAAATGATTGTTGCATGTGACATTCCATATGCATTTAGGTTGAGAGGTACTCTCTATAGGAGTTACCCTATTGAGCGTTGGCTTACCCTTTATGGGAACATTTTTCAGGTATCGCACAGGCGTCCACCAAAGGTGAGGCCGTGGGCCCGCTTTGACGACAGAGCCGGTCTGTGGCTTTTATTTTGACATTGTAGTCCCTTGTTTATATTTACTTTTGGCCTTGTATAATTTTTGTAACAAACATTTGTTTATATTTACAAAGGCATGTATATGGGATTCTTTTGGGACATTTATTCTTTTACGAATAAATGTATGTATTGATAATGATTATGGTAGTATTCAAGACTATACAATTGTGAATGGATAGATAGACCCGGTGTAGTCAATATTGTACAGGTTGCGTTTTGAGTTGAGCTCCTCGTACAAAGGAGACTCTGTCCAAATTTTGTTAAGTTATGGATCCCGAGAAATGGGGCATAACGGTGTGGTATCAAATTACACGATATCCACCAGTATTACATAGGTCGATAGATAATCAATCGGATAATTACAGACACCCAAACTTTGGGGTGTCACACGTCGAGATTGTGTGACGCCCCTAAAATCGAGGGTCCCGTTGACCACTCGTCAACCCGCCGAAATACTCGTGATTGTCGCATAACCCGACATCACGTCTATCATATCCCTGTAATCGGGATTACAACTCACACGAGGATCCGTATTTCCTTTTATCATTTAATCCCATCGAGGTTCAATATACTTCAATGTATCTCATTTAAAGTTCATTTGTGTCATTAGAACCAAAAAACACATAGCTCAAGAGTATGGAAATGCATTCTTAAAATTTTAGATTTTTAAAAAACCTTCCGGAATGTTTGCTCAGTGAAAATTTTTTACCAGAAGGTTTGCCAATTGGATGAAAAATTGCATGAACCTTCCAAAAGGTTTTGTGAACCTTCCGGTAGGTTTTACCTACTGGACAGAAAATTTATCCTAACCTTCCGGAAGGTTTTGTCCAAAATTTCATGCTTCATCAGATTTTCATTTTCAATTCATCCAAAACCTTTCCAAACTCATTGCAAACATGGATAATGACATTTTCTACATTATACATGATCCATACAAGTTTTATTAAATGCATTTGCATAATTTTTACATGTTAAAACATTGTTCCAACAAAAATTACACAAAATATGCCACAAAAGCCACAAGTCGGCTATTTTTCATCGTTGAGGCCCCGAATGCGAGTCTTCTCCCGGTACGAACCCCGCACCTGAAATATTTTTTCATATAGGGTGAGCCAACGCCTAGTAGAATATTTCCTACAGAGGCTACTCCTCAACCTAAGTGCATATACAATGTTCATATACCACATTCACAATCGTATAATCATTCCAATCAAGAATATATATGTTCATGTTGGAATTTACCATGTCATGTCATGAATGAAATGAGATTCACTCACGCACCTCAACCCGAGCCTACTCTGGCTCTCACCACACTATGTAATACAAGTGTAAAACCTTTATCATCGATGAAATACATTTAATGATTATTTTTGAAATACCAGCTATATGTTTATAAAATCATTTCATTTATGGATGTTTTCCATCAAATGAAATATTTGTATTACAAAATCATGTGTCTTTATTGGATATCGGATTCCGGAATCACACCGACTAGCTCCGTACGCCATTACACTTTTTTGGAATTTCACCATAGTGAAATGTATGAACCAAGTAGCCGAGCTTTTCACCCGAGGGAGTGTCTAGCCTTTCTTGCTATACCCGACACAAATTTTTCTCATGCAATATGTGACTCCATGGGATCTTCGATCCAACATCTTCGAGTCTACATATCAATCACCAAGAGTGGTATTGATTAAATCATGCATACACATCCACACCCATACCTAAGCCCATGAATATGATGCATTTTTTCCATGCAATATGCAATGTTATGAACCATTGCGCAATCAATGTCATACTCATATATAAAGAATGTCACATGAGCCATAACCAGATATCTCACATATGTCATGACAATTTCAATGAAAGCATATAATTACCATAAATTATCGCAATGTTAATACATCAATTAGCACATATTAACATTTCCTTCCAACACATTTTATAAGTATGTTAACAACACACTTCATGTACAAGCACTATAAAACATATAGCATGCTCAAGATATCAAGTTTTAAGGGATTGTACAAGTACTTCCCCAATACCAAACTTTGCTAGGAATTGGTCTAGGCCAATTTCATACTCATTTCCTCTATTTCTTAACCATAGTCAAGTGACTTAGGTTATTTCAAACCCTTACCCCATTTATAATACACCCTAGGTAAGAAAATAAACCAAAGTAGGAGAAACCCTACCTCTTGGAGCATAATATGAAGACTAGAAGCTACAAGACACCTTCCTAGCTCCAAAAACTCTTGACTTCACAAAATCCTCCCCTTGGATCTTCGGTGAAATCTCTCGTTCTTAGTACGTACACGTAGCCCTCGTCGCGTAGACCAACTTTAACTCTTAGTTCGACGGATTCCGACCAACGGAACTTCGAAAATCAGAGAAGAAGGCTTGAAATTTTTATTTTCTCTCTTCTCCTCTTCACACGCCTGAAACTCAGCCGGCCAAATGGTGAGAAATATCTGAATTTTCAGATATTTTGCCCCTATTTATACTTTTAATTTCGAGGTCCACATTATCCCGCTCGTTTATCACTTCTAGGTCCGTTTTTAAGCCAAAACGACTTAATTAAATTTCGATTTTAGTTCAAATTAATTTTATTTGAACTTTTACTCAATTATAAGAAAATTTTTATAATTTCTATTTTTGGGGACCTTTGAAAGTTCATTCGTTACCCAATTATCTCGAAAAATGTACAAAATTCGATTATCTCAGAATTCGACGAAATTTGACATGGCGCTCAATTTCGTGATACGAATCCAACAGCGAAGTCCATTGCTCCATTCGAGCTCTTTAGAAATATGCATTTTAAACCCATATAATAATGACAAATTACTATTTTACCCTTTATCGGAAATAGTTCAAATTTTTTCGAATTCATAGATTGTCCCCATACTTCTGCGATTCTACTTCTATCTACCCTTGGTGAATGGTCCGTTTTGCACCTCCAATGCGATGGAGATGTATTTTGCCCTATTGCGGTGTCGCACTAGGGAGCATCGCTCATGACACTGTTATCTATACCAATCCAGTAAGACGTTGTTGGGCCCCATTTTCATGTCAACTTATAATCATTGCCACTTATTCTGTTATGGTGTAGACATGTGTATTGAAGTTTTCGGGTACTACAAGATCTAATGCCACTTTATATCTTGAAAGATGTTTTCATTCTCAATTTGTATCCTCAATATTATGAATTTGTAGAAATATAGATCTTGTCTAAATAACCGTTCAATTTTTCGTCATAAATTGAAATACGTGAGTTGTAAGTGCTTCAACCTAATTATTTTTGTCTTAATTTTGAACAATAATTGAATTTCTTAAAAAAGAGAAATATATGCAGTAATCTGAGATAATCAAAAGACATAACACAAAACTCTACGCACACTGCCTCCATTGTTCAAGAGACTTAAACCCATGACTACCGGCTCTTCTTAGGACTTTCACCAATTACACATTTTCTATTTGATGATTTGCTCACAATCTTTGATGGTGGGACCAAGGGTCCTATCTATCTTTCATATATAGATCTTTTTGAAAACATGGGAGAAAGGGGGGGGGGGGGGGGGGGGGATAGTGCACAGGCCCCCTATGCCCAATTGTGGTTCAATCTATTTAACCAAAAGCCATCCAAATCATATTTCACTCACTAGCGAGAGCTTAAAGCAATGTCCAATTTAGAGTAAGATTAATTAACAATTAATAATAAAATAACAAATTAATGAGAACTTGAGTCAGTTTTCAATAGTCCTCGTAACATATAAACGCCCATCTAAACGATACGAAATTACAATATTTTAAAAATTATATGTAAAAAAAATTGGTTTAAAATTGATCAAATGCTAATTTATAAACCAAACATGGTGTTAGTTTAAATATGTTAGGGACAAAATAGTCAATGATACTATATTTCATCACCCTTTTCCATGGGTTTCACAAAAGTGCTTATGTGTTTTTCAAACATTGGAAAAGATAAAATATAGCTATTAAATCCTAACCAGTCCAATAATAAGTGAGTGTGGGTTGGATAAGAAAAAATATTTTTTTAGATCTTCAATCCAATCCAACCCTGTTATCCAAACACACGTAAACGGGCCTAAAATACTGACCAAAATGGAAACTGAAACCACATCCTCACCCTCCCCTAACCCCCAAGAAAGAAAAAAAAAACTTCATAAAACATGTACGATGGCCAAAATTACTGGACTAACCTCACCTAAAGCATTTACAAGATGTACAAACATCACTGTTGAAGAACATAAACATGTCTTTTTTCACCTCACCCCTTTCCTCTCCGGTGCTGTTCCAAGCAAGCAATGCCTTAATCCCATTCTACTCTCATCACATGTCACCATCACGATCGAGAAGTCCGTATTCCAACTGCACAACATACGGATAAGTAGGCTTAAGTAATATTTAAGTCCATATTGTGATGCTTACAAATTCAAGAAGAAATTGCCTACCGTTGCTATATTATGCTCCAACTTCATTCTTTGATATTCTTCTTGGGCTCGCTTTGAACGAAACATGGCCTGGACCCGAATAACGGATCTCTCAACCCGATCCTCAGCTTGTTTCCTGCTGGCTTGGAAGAAGTCCTCCTCCCCATCACTTTCTTGAGTTGGATCTTTGACAGCTTCCATAGGATGAACTTGAAGGCCACGAAGACCTTTTCTCTTTAAACGCCAACGTAAAACTACTTTTTCAAGCACTCCAACTGACCAAATGATCTTCCGATAATGTTTCCGTGCATGGAAACCTCTGAAAACAGCCTGCATTGGGAAAGAAATCGAATCAATCATTTGCTAGACTCAACAAACACGGCGCTCTTGTGCAAAAACCATGCAGCCCAAGCTGCCTTTAGTAGATTTTAATACAAGACCTCTTAAGTTGAGGTCCAAAATTTGCATGCCATACAACTCGAATAATTCTGGCTAATCTATCAATAAGGCAAGAGCAAAAGGACAGCGAAAAAGAGCCCTTACTTGAATTTTGATTGCTTGACGGCGCAAATTGAGAAAGTCTCTTCGGATCTTCCAAGTACGGAACCTATGTTGGATTCTGGCAGCCGCTGCCATCTTTCTTCGCGTTTCAAAGTTGCGGAAGGCATTCTGAATTTTCATAGCTGCAATTATAGTGCGTGCTGCATCCTCTGGATTGGATTGCTGAACTGCTTTTGTCCGTAACTTGAGTGAGCGCTCCCTAAACGCAGCCTGTATTTGTGCAGCTGCATCAGCAGCTGTTCGATAAGCTACCAGAGTATCCTTCAGATACAGCTCCTCCTCGCTAAATTCCCAGTGTTTACCGAATCTGCTGTGGAAGTTTGCAGCGAACCACTGACATTTCCAGCTAGGGC